CCAATCAACGCAGCTGCTCGGTGCGCACCGCCATCATTCAGCTGCTTGCGGTGCTGACCAAGCGTTTGGCTCCAGCAGAATTGGCCGCTGCTTCAAAGCAACTGTATCCACTGCATCTGGCCAATCAGTTGACCATTCATGGCAGCGATGTGGCCATGTTTGAGGCGTGTCTCTCCTGGATTAGCGATCTGCATGGCAATCTCACAGATATGATTAGCTCTGATGTCGCCTTAGGCATACGACAGCGCTTTGGTCTGCAATCCTTGTTAGCCATTTCGATGGCTCTAGGCAACAGCAGCTGGAGCTCAGAACCGCAACGTGTGTTCAAGGCACTGTTGCGTCTCTATCTGCAGGTTAGTGCATTGCTTAGTCCACGTAAATGTTGTGCTCATACTTCTTCATCTCTTTACAGAACCCCGATGAGCAGCTTGGGCTCGTGGAAGCAGGTCTGCTACAGTGCACCGTCAAAGCGCTGCACCAGCTTTATACGCTGCGCCTAGGTCAGCCCAATATGGATCAATCCATTGTGGAGCTGCTGAGTGGCATTGGCGAGCGAGCGCTTAAATCTGTAGGACAAATCAATGTGAGTTGCTGCTCAAATCAACTGTGACCATAATCTAAATTTTATATTCTAATGTAACAGCTCGTCTGGGACATATTGAATATGCTGGCCTTCTATCAGGACAAACAGCCGCCGCTGATTGTGCGCAGCTTCCGTACGGTGCAGGCTCAGCTGCAGTTCCAATGGCTCAACCTCTTCTTCGAGGCTTGCACTGGGAGTGGCTGCAGCAATGGCTATCGCTTGCGCAGCAGCCTGTCCGACTGCTCACTCAGCCAGACGGAGTGTCGTACGCGCATGGAGCTGCTTATTGATCGCTGCACTCAATTCTTTACGACAGGTGGCAGCCAGTCCAATGGCAGCAGCTATGTGGCCAGCAGTCAGGAGCTGGCTCTGTTCGAGCTGCTCGTATCCTTTGGCATAGCCAACAATCAGCGCTGCAACAACTTTATTGCTTGGGGTCTGCAGCCGTCGCGGCCACGAGATTTACGCGCTTACATCGTGGATGCCTTGTGGCGTACATGCCAGGACGAGTTTCATCCCGCAATCATATGCGATGTGAAGATGATCAAAGCACTGCTGTGGCTCAGCTTGATGGAGGATGTGAAACCACCCATAGAGAATTTGCCACGCCTATGCAAGGCGCTGGGCATCAACGAGAATGATTCCACTTGGAATCTGGAGCATGAGCTGGAGCGCCTGGAGCTAAATCGCACCACTCTGGCAGCCAAGCAGAAGCAACTGCTGGAGAAGACGCTCTATAAGTTTGAACCGCTCGTACAGCATTGCATTGAGACCTCCATGGTGACCACCAGGCGCGTGGCAGAGCTGCAGGTGAGATGCCTTGTTAGGTTCGGTAGTGAAGTTGCTTAAGTTTTATTTATTTATAGAATGCGGAACGCAAGCTGCTGATGTGCCACATGAAGGACTATGATGACACTACCACCTACACCAAGTGGTTGGAAATTATACGCCGCATGGCCCACGAAGGAGCGCCTTGGCACTGCAACGAGCGTGCTGAGTGGTAAGTGAATGACTTCGCTTCATATCTTAAATCAACTAATATGGATTGATGCAGTTCCTGGGAACTGGATGACACGGAGGGACCATCGCGTGTTCACACACGCTTACGGCGCTGCCATTTGGATATAGATCGGCGATTCTTTATGAACGACTACTGCCCAGGGCAGGGTCAGCGCGAGGAGAAGGATCAATACATGCGTCCCCTGGACTATTTGATAGCCAGCTACGATCAGCAGTTGAACATATCGCTCAACTCGCAAATACTCTACAATTTTGCGGCAAAATTTTTGCCCGTTGATGGTGAGATCGATGGCGAGATTATTATAACCGATCTGAAGCTCTATTTTCTGGCCACATATCGTTGTAAATACTTTAATGTGAACTGTGATATATCAAACATAACTGAAATCTGGCTGAAGCGCTACCAGCACCAGGAAAAGGCATTTGAAATATTGCTCGACAGCAACAAGTCGCTGTTCTTTTCGCTGCAAAATGCCGACGACTGGAAGATTATGCGCGAGGTATTCTGTGATAAAATTGTAACCATGCCGGACAATGCCAAAGTGCTGGCCATAACGCAGCAGTGGCGCGAAGGCCTGCTAACCAATTGGGAGTATCTGATGACACTCAATCAAATAGCTGGACGCACCTACAACGATCTCATGCAGTACCCAGTCTTTCCCTGGGTGCTGGCCAACTACAACTCCGAGTGCCTAGATTTGCGCCTAGCGCAAAATTTTCGACGACTGGCGCGACCTATTGCGGTGCAGCTGGAGAAGAACGAGCAGCACTACATAAACAATTATGCGGTAAGTTAAGCAGGTCGAGGAAATATCTTTTAACTATTCATGTATTCATCTGTATATGCTTTTAACAGTACATCGAAAGCACGAATACGAATATGGGCTCATTGATCTTGAAGCCGTATCACTATAGCTCCCACTACTCAAACTCTGGCACCGTGCTGCACTTTCTGGTGCGCGTGCCGCCTTTTACCAGCTACTTTCTGCGCTATCAAGGTAAGGTCCTATTTAACCAGCAATCGCTCTTCGACTAATCATATTATGCACCTAAACAGATAACAACTTTGACCTACCGGATCGCACTTTCCATGCACTGAACACCACATATTGCCTGGCCAGCCAGGACAGTTCCACGGATGTCAAGGAGCTTATACCAGAGTTCTTTTGCCTGCCTGAAATGTTTGAGAATTTTGAGCGCTTTAATTTCGGCTGCCGACAAAATGGCGAAAGGGTTGAAGATGTCACACTGCCAGTGTGGTGTCAACGAGATCCGCGTCTTTTTGTGCTCATCCATCGACAGGCACTAGAATCAGAGCTGGTTCGCAATGAGCTGCATCACTGGATCGATCTAATATTTGGCTTCAAGCAAACAGGAGAAAGCGCTGTTGAAGCCATTAATGTGTTCCATCCAGCGGTGAGTTAGAGAATCTTATATATTCCATGCATATATCATAATTCTTTTATTTTCCAGACCTATGCCGTTTTCCTCGACTCGGAAATTAGCGATCCCATTGAACGTGAGGCAGTCAAGACCATGGTGAAGACATATGGCCAGATGCCACGGCAACTATTCAAGTTGCCACATCCCTCCAGCAAAGCGCTGGACTATGCTTTAGTGGACACGCCCATTGTGTCCAGTGTAAAGGGATTGCGTTGGGGTGTCTACGTGGGCTCGCCACAGCTGAAGGTGCCATCGTGGGCAATTATACATAAAATACCTGGCACCGAAAATCTCATCAGCTTCAACAACACTAATGTGGTATATGCCTTGCCGGCGCGTGCCGGTGTCATGCAGGGAGCTGAACCGGATACCTACAATGTGATTTCCTGGGGCTACGACGATCGCATTGTGCGCATTCAGCCACTGAACAAGCCGCAGGCGAAGCCCAAGAATCTGTTATATAATGACAGTTTTGATGACATCAGCGCATGTGGCTGTGATGTGAACTCTAATCAGCTCTGGTTTGGTCACAAATCTGGTCGCATTAGCGTCTACAAGTGCGCCAGCGGCATGGATAGCCAGCAGCGTGCGCCCACCAAGAGTCGTCAGAGTTATGTGCGTGGATTGCGTCTATCCTACAATTCAGCATTTCGCAAGATGACCACCAAGAGCACAGGCTCTGGATCGGGTGCTGAAACATCCGATGACTTGGGCAATTTGCATCCCACAAACTCGTCTGTCTCTGTGTCCTCCTCAGGCGTTTCGTGCAACGGCGATGCACTGCAGCGCGATGGTGCTGACCTAACCTGGTTGGGTCCCACGTTTCTGGTACGGCACTCAGATGAGATCACTTGTATTGCACTTTCCGTGGAGTTTAAGATTGCTGTGACCGCCGGACGTGATGGCATTGCCGTCATTTGGGATCTCAATGAGTAAGTTGCTCGGCATCTAAACGATTTCATCCACTAATCGCTTACCTTACTTAGCTGGAGCTATGTTCGAACTATTGCACGTCCTGCGGAGATTCATCAGTCGCCCATCACGCATGTCGCCATCAGTCCCACCCTGGGCGACATTGTCACCGTGCATACAATGCCACAACAACCAACTAATGTAGCTGCATCTCTTGCGAAACAGAGTGCAGCGGACGAATGCTTCGAGGTAACGGAGGAGAGCCTGGATGATTTTGTCAACGTCAATATCAATCCCAATGGCAAATCCATACTGCGCCTACACTCAGTCAACGCACGTTACGTGCAACATCTGGTGCACGAGGATCGCATCCAAGCTGTATGCTATTCATACATCAAGGAAGGCGTTGGCGTCAATGTCATAGCCACCGCTGTGGAGGGCGGCTTCGTCCGCTTCTGGTCCAGTTGGAATCTGAGCTTCGTCAGCGAACTAACAACAGGCACGTCGCCCATACACAGGTGAGCTAATCTCTTGTCTTAAATAGACAGCGGATTAAAGTATTTTTGCTTGCAGCATCATTTACTCCACACATCAGCATTTGGTGGTGTTAACCAAGGACTCCCACATCCAGGTTTGGGAATCGGAGGGTCTCTACGGCAACGCACCGAAGTTTCCTCAAATTGTTTATAAATAATAACACAAAACTAAACCTACAATTAAACTCAAAGCATATCAATGACAGACACATAACCAGAGTAGCTGATGAATCAAAATGATATCGAGCCCGGGTCACATGGATTTCAATTCAGTAACTAGCGACTGGCCTCAATTAAATACATATACACACATATTAGTTTTATAGCCATAGGTACATAAAGCTATTAAAATACATTTTTCTACCAAACAATTTTTATAATTTATAAATTTTTGGTTTGTTTTCTTTTATCTGTTCTGGCAGCTTACAAAGTTTGCTACGCTGCCTTAAAACGTTGCAATTATAAAAGAGCAATAAATTTTATGAAAATATAAAACAATTTACTTTCACAACTTCGAAGTAAAAAGGGGTACAAAAATAGAAGCCATTCCATGTGGCTACATTGAAAATCAGACTATCAAACTATTTACTACAGGTTAAATTAATTCTAATTTTTATAATTATCAGGACTTCCAGGGCGGTGGCTTGGAACCGCTGTTGGAATTTCGCTTCTGTGGCTTGGCGTTTTGCCTGGCGTTCATGGCAAGAATCTTATCAAGCTTATCGAAATCACTTGGCGATTTGCTCAACAGCAGTTCAATGTATGCTTGCAGCTTATCCATGGGAGATGGAGGATCCTTTTTGGCCGCCAAATCCAGATTGTTCTTCTCAGTGTTGTTGCTACGTTGAGTTTTACTTGACTTGGGCGTATCGGCAGAGTGACGCGCATTGTTTAAATCCGGCGACTCGCTATCCGTCTCGCCACTTGTCGTCTGAAACGTGTGATTGGGCGAGGTGAGTATGGCCAGTGCCTGTTGCCATTGAGCTTCCATTACGCCATGCAGCTTTTCCGCAATGTCCGCACTGTCAGCAGAATGAAATATTTATAAATATTTATATATGTAATATATATCATCTATATAATCTGACTCACCGCTTTGTCTTGTAGCAGCTGAGCTTGAGTTCCAGCTCGTCTATTTTCTTAGATGCATTTGCCAGCTGCAATCGGTAGAGTTCCACCTCTTCATTGTGCTTTTCCTGTATGAGATTCAACTCCTGGTTGTTCTTCTCGTTGATCATCTCCAACTGCTTGACAGCTCGATCGGCTATCAGATGTTCACGCTCGCGTGCCTCTGCCTTCAGCACCTCCTCCGATTTGTCCAGCTGTGCTTGAAATTCTTGCAACTTTTTGGCCACCACATTTTCCATTTGCTGCTGGTAATGTTGCTTCAAAGATTTCTGCTGAACTTCCAGCTTTTTCTTGAGATTTGCCTGAAAGGAAGTAACCAAAATGAAGCATTGAAGTCATTCAAATGAGCTGCTTGATAGTTACCTCAATGTCGGTAAGATTCGCCAGGGCCTCTTGCATGGACTTGCGCTGCAATTCCAGATTATCTGCGCGCGTCTTTTGCTTCTGATGATACTCTTGCAACATTTCCTTTTGATGTTGTAGCGTGGACTTATCCTTTTCTAGTTCTTCTACGCGGCCTTTCAGCTGTAGGCACAAAAACTTCTTTAAAGATAGGAAGCGAATAGAAAGTAAGATTCGATTTTACCTTCTCCTGCTGATAATCCGCCTTGGCGAACTTATCCCGCAGCTTATTCTGCTCGGCATGGGATAGCTCTTCGGCACGTTTGCTGCTTTGCAGCTGCAGCTCGACTTGCTCTAGTTTCTGCAGTGTCTCGCTGGCCTGTTGGTTGGAGCGCGCTAGCTCAGCCTCCAGTTTGTCTATCTTCTCTTGGAACTTGGTCGCCAGGCCCACTGCCTGAGATAGCTCATGCTGCAACGATTCGCATCTGTCGCGATTGTCATTGCGCTCTGTTTCCAACCTATGCACCGAGTCGCGCATATGCTGAACCTCAAAGTTAAGCGTCTTTAGTTGTTGCTCTGCCTGCTGCAAGGCGCTGTCCTTTGTTCGATCGACCTCTATGGCCACCGAGATGCGCTGCTGATACTCCAGCAGCTGTGTCTGCAACGCTTGTACCATTTTCTCCAAGTGCTGACGGCGTAGCTGTTCTTCCTTGAGAGAAGTGCTGCCCTGCTGTCCAGACATATTATTTGGTATGACAGTGCCTGCCAGATTGCTTTTGCCCCATAGCTCGCTTAGACTGATGAGTTTGTTTTCATTTCCCATAGATACGGACGCACCCAGTCGTATGCTGGGCAATGAAGTCGCTGTCTGCTGCGAGTCCTGCGCCTGCATCGAATAGCCACGCATGCGCAAATGATCATCGCTGTAATGCTGCTGCTGCTGTTCGTGCTGTTGCTGTTGGGGCCAGGCATTGTTGTCCTCCAGATAATTATCGATTTCCAGCAATATATTCTCCTCCAGCCGAGGATCGCCCTTGGGCGTCGAGTGTACCATGCCGTGCGGTCGACTGCCCAAGGCAGTGCGCACTGTACTTGACGAAATTGTGGATAGATCAGAGGGCGCATCAAAGCGTCGCTGTTCTTCCAGCTGCTCCAGCTCCATGTTTTGTAAACGCGCATTTATGTGATTCAATTCCGACTTCTTGCCGGGCAACAAAAACTGATACGCAGCTGTTGTAGACGCTGGCAGCGGCAGAGGCGGCGGCGGCATAGCGAGTGCATCTGCCTCAGCAGCTGCGCTCATCTTGGCCACCCGCGTTGTATAGTAATTGGGCGGTATTAGCAGCAACAGATCAGTATCGTCCGTATCGGTATCACTCATTACTCACAACATGATTAATAATTAACTTTGAATTAAATAGCAAAACATTTAAATACAGAAACGAAGCGTATCAAGCGCTCGTTGCTATAGATGCAAGTAAACAACGGTGTTGCCAGACTGCCAAATTTGGCTTGCCAGCGCTGCCACACAACTAAATTGAGTTGACGCCATAACCAGTGTTGAATAACTGTTGGATTGCAAACATCTCAACAAGTTGGCGCGCTGTACATTTTATTTAAAGTATTGTGTATTGCGTTAATGGCACATTTCATGCGTGAATCTTTTTACATGAATTTTTTAGCGACCCATCCACCTACAATGGCAGCAAGCAGCATAGCAACTGTGGCCACAAATATCCAGAATCCACTTCCCTTCTGCTTCTGCAGTTTTATATCTAATAACTCACGCTGCTCGTCCTTTTCTTTGGTGATCGTCTCGACCTGTTGCATCAAATGTTGGCGGTCTTCTTCTAGCACATTCACTTGTTCCAGTAGATTTGTCAACGGATCCAAGTTATCCTTATCCTGATGCTCACTAATATTTTGTATCTTGTCTGAATACGACTTTTGAACACCTTCCACTTGGCTATCGATCAATTTGACTTTTAGCTTGGTATCCCAGATGGTTGATGGACTGATATTCTTCCAGAACTCGTGCAAATCACAAATCGGATCGCTCGCATCGGCTGCCTGCATCATGAACTTGTGGCGATGCGCATAAATGTCATTTGAGACCGGATGGACGAATATATCAATGGCGATCTTCTCCTCGGGCTGCACGAGACCAACGTTGGGCCGCACGAAGAACAAACGCGGCGTTGTTGTTTTCAGTTTAAACGCAACGCGCTTCTGCTTGCTAGGATTGAAAACCATAATTTTCTTGCAAACGGCTCGATTGAAGGGCCCTTCGAGAATTAGCTCGTCGGCTGGCTCCACGATCAACATGGCACTTAATTTAAATGATGTCCTGCCTACTACAAGCTCTACAACTCCTATAAAAATAAAAAGATCTAATTTCTTATTTCCACCAAAATGTATCTCAACGTTACGAAATATTGGTCACGACTAACAAGCCAAGCATACCGAAATCTCTGACAGCAAACAGAACGCAAGGCCTACTGCGTCGCCAACAGGGAGTTCTCTGTAGACATTGACAGTTGGTGTATATTGGCTTGCGCAAATGTGTAGATAACTCGACGAAAGTTAAGGATTCAAAATATATATATTTTATCATCTGTTAAGTATGATTGAAACAGCGAGACTTGGGATATTTCCTTACAGATCACTTTTACTTGTTGCTCGTTTCGTTGCTCTTTTTCGAGTACATTTATAGATAATTATCGAGTATTTCAATTAGTTGAATATGTTTCGTCTAACTACCAAAATATCATGCGGCCAGCGTTGGGGGATGTTGCCTTGGACAGGATAATTTCGGATAGTTCAGCATCCTCCAGTTCGTTGCTATAATATATACATATTTTTACTGATTTATTTTAGGGACGATTGACATGAGAAACAGTTAGTTAGTCTGTTTTGTGCATATGAACATATACACATTTATTGATTATTGATTTTGTAATAAATAACAATGAATGTTTTGCTTGGTCGCAACAGCCGGACGCGGACGACGAATCACCCTGTGATGCGTTGACAGTTTCTTGGATGTGTAGAATGATGAGTTCTTGGGTTCTTGAATTCGAATCGGTTAAGTGCGGGGGCGGGGGCACAGCCACAACAATAACAACAAGTACAACAAATTGCGCTCTTATGGTCTACAAATAAAAGATCAAATAAAAAAAAGAAAAGAAAATAAAAGAAAAGAGAAAAATATGTGTGAAACCCAATAAAATTAAAGTTCCGCATAACTGATTGACAAACAACGAGTATTAGACAAGAACAAGAACAAGAACAAGAACAAAACAAAGAAGACATTAGTTTATATATATACTACATATATATAACAGTAAGAGATGAACATGCGTATGATATAGTTTTTGGGAATGGCTGTTAAAGCGGAGCGCATAGATCACATGAGTGGGGCAAAGACAATAAGACACAAGAATGCTTTGAATGGTTCACATTTTATTTAAGACTAATCCAATTTGTAGGCACTATTTCGTTATTAAGTATATATATATATAACTGTATATATTGCAAAAATCAATAAAAATTATGCCTTAAGTCTCGTTTGCTAAAAATTATAAAATATTGTACAGCATTTAGTTTCGGCTTGCATTTTTTAAAAATCAATTTTTTTTTTGTATATTTTTATATATCACTTAAATATTTTTTTTTTTTGATTTTTTGAAATTTTTTCGGACGGTTACAAGAAAAAAAAATTGCATTTTGAATAGAAATTTTACAATTTTTGATAATAAATATTAGGCGTAACTAAAATTAATCGAGTGATTTGTATTTTTGTTTCTTGTATTTAAAATTAGTTTAGTTTTTGTGTTTTTTATGTATATATAAATTATGTTTTAATTTAAGTGCGCAGTCGTTAAGAGTAGTTTATAAATTAGTTTTTTGCAATTTAAATTCGTTTTTTTTTGTATTTTTTTTCAACTAATCACAAGGCAAATAGATTTAGACTTTGTTTTGCTTTTTTTTTTTTGGACTCAAAAAGGGGCGTTCAAGAAGTTTTGTATCGGGGGCAACGCAGGCAAGTTTTTAGTGGATGCTAAGCTTAACGAGTCTTAAAACAACGAGCTACGAGAGATAAGTAAAGATAGCGAACGAATACCATCACCACAGAGACAGAGAGAGAGAGAGAGAGCGGGAGAGAGAGAGAGAGAGACCGAGGGAGTTGTGTAACTGGGCCCAGGTGGGAAGAAAGTGTAAGGAGTGTATTTAAGTTATGAATGATGCATGAGATTCGTTTTTAAAAAATGGCACAAATGTAACGAGTAACGAGCAGCGAGTAACGAGTAGCGAGTAGCGAGTAGCGAGTAGCGCGTAAAGAAGTTAACTTTGGTGTGTGTGAAAGACGTTATCAGACAGTTTGATTCAGGTGAAGTGAAGTGATGTGAAGAGTATGTGCATTAGCATGTGTATTAGGAAGTAACGAATGGAAGTAGCGAGCGAGTAACTAGTAGAACTAGCGAATCATCTTTCGCATTTGCTCTTGCTTTTGCTTGGCTTGTTGGTTGTTGGTTGTTCTTACTTTTTGATCAGCGAGCGCACTTTTTTCATCGTACGATTAAAGATCGTCTTATTGCTTGCGCTATTGTTCGATCCCAGCGATGAGTTGGACGTCTTATTGCTATTCTGGCTGCCACCGCGATGCACATGCGCCGACGCCCGCTGCTGATTGCCATGCTGCCCCGCCTGCGATCTCAGCGACTGCGCATCCTCGCGCTCGCTCTCCGTGGAGCTAACGCCGTCCGGACTCTGACGATTGGCGACAGTGCGCTGCATGGGTCGCTCTGGTGTCGGCGACTTCGAGGAGCTGCTCGTATCGCGTCGCTGCGGCTGCGGCGTCGGAGGCAGCGCCAGATTCTGCATGCTCTGGGTCTCGTCGGTGGGCTCGCTGCTGGGCGGCAGCAGCTCGGCCAGCGTTTGCTTGGACAAGATGTGATCGAGGCTGCGCGACTTGCGATGCTGCTGCACATTGGGCGGAGCCAGGCTTTGTTTCTCGCGTCGCGTCACAGGACACACTTCCTCCTCGGCCGGCGACTCCTCCTCCGGCTGCAGCGTGCACGTCGAGCTAGCATTGGTCAGCGCTGTGCTGCCTGCAGCCACCATGGCAGCGGCTTTTGCTATGCGCTGCTCGGGCGTGCTCAGGCTGTCCTGACTGCTGCTGCCGGCCGCCTCTGCCTCAGCCGCCGCCTGGTCCAGCAGCCCGTCCACGCTGTGCGACCGATAGCCATTGGCAACGCTCGCATTGTGCACCAGGCCGGCAGCCGAGCTGCGGCGCGGCGGCACATACGGTTGCGGCATGATGTTCTGCATCGAAGCGGAGCCGGCGCCGGATTTGTGCAGCAGCGCCGCCTGCTGTGTGCGAAACGGTGACAGAATGTTGGAGCGCTTCGGCTGGCCACGCCCATAGCTCAAGAGGGAGGTGCTGCCGCGCTGGCGCGCCGGTGAGGGGGACTGCCGGTATCTATTTGCCTGGTGATTAGCTGCTCGTGAATTATCGAGTTTCGAGTTTGCAATCAAAATTAAATTAATTAATAATTAAGTTGGTTTGTTTTGTTTTAGATTAGAGTAGAGTAGAGAGAGAGAGAGTTATGTGGTATGTGTGTGAGTGAGTGAGTGTGTGTGTGTGTGTGTGAGTGTATCGTATACTAAAGCTAGAGACAGAGAGAGAGAGAAGGAGAGAGAGAGAGGGACAGAGAGACATATGCCTTCTGGACACTCCCGCTTGAGGTTGTTTCCGTTTGAGGATTCTTCTTCTTCTTCTTCTTTATCTTCTTCTTTATCTTCTTCTTCATCTTCATCTTCTCTGCTTTGCTTAAACTTAGTTGGATGTGCTGCATATTCGAGGCTAGCCTAAGTGGTCTCGATGGCCTAGTCTACGCTGTAGCTGGGTCTGATTCGTATTCGAATTCGGATTTGAACTGGCATTCGAGCTCGGATTCGAACTCGGATTCGGATTCGAACTCTGATTCTGATTTGAAGTAGTTGCTGTACTCGTTGGCCCACCTTGTCCGCTGCCATTGGCCGTCATTAGGCCATCCACCACACTGCCTGCGCCGCCGCCGCCACCACCGCCGCCGCTGCCACTGCCGCCGCCAACGCCTCCGCCTGCACCACTCTGCTGATAGTCGGAATCATTGCTGTGCATTCTTTGGTAAGACGCCACGCCGGGCGTACCAGGCGCCATAGCCGCAATGCGATCGACATTCTTTTCGCCGCGCAAAAATCTGCCGCAACGGAAGAGGGCGAAATTAAGTTTGGGAATGTATTGAGATTGAGATTGAGATTGAGCTTAACGATATAAATAAACTGCATTAAAACTAGTCGAATGATTAACTACGTAGCTATGCTAACTAAGAGAGAGTTAGAGAGAGGAGAGATTGTGGCACTATTTGGTCAGCATTCCTTTAGTCCTAATTGCGCCGGTTATATACCTTTCGAGCTTATCGATGCATGCATCCTGGTAGTCGTGTATCCAGCTGACCCCATTGAAGTGGGCCACGCTGCACATGTCGTTGGGCAGATTGTCCGGAAACGTGAACTGCTGATCCATAATGGGTATTATATTGCAGTTCGACTCCAAGGCAGCCACAATTTCCTATCAGACAGGGAAGAGAGGCCCTCAGTTAGTGTGAGTGTGAGGGCGGGGCAGGAGAGGATCACTGTGTACTTACGCGATGCACCCAGTCCTTGCAGTCGACATCGTTGATGCAGCGATGCAGTGCGTCTGGCGTTAATACTAAGACAAAGTTCTTTGCCTGACGAATACTGTTGAGTAGACCATTATCAAATTTGCCTGCCTCCAGACGTTCCACGTCGATGAACACTGAGAAGCCACGCAGCTGAAGATGAACCTGCAAAGCGGCAGAGAAGAAGAAGGAGCAACATTAGCCACGCCCTTGCGATTGGTCCAGCAGGCAAACGCACCTTTAGCAAACTGGCCAGCTGGGACCCGGTGGAGCGCCTATAGCTGACGAACACGTCCAGCGTTTTGGCCATATTCTCCTCGGATGAGCTCGGCAGCGAGTTCTCCAGGTTCTTGACCGCACTGAGAATCTGCAGACGATGTATGCCATTCTTGATGGCGCACTCGGTCATGAGCATATCCTCGTTGACATGGGGCAGGGTGTTCTTGTCGATGCCCGCGTTCAGCATGGCATACGTGTAGGTGCAATAATCGGGCCCGATCTCGGCCAGAAACTGGTGCATTCGTGCCGTATCCTTGGACGAATAGTCGGCCATGCGTTTCAGATTTTGCAGCTCCCGCTCGAAACGCTTGAGCAGAATGCCATTGGCAATGCCAATATCGTTGCGCAGATTGTCGTGGTTGAGCTTCAGCAGCAGATCGCCGTCGACCTGAGACTCCTCGAACTGACGCAAGTAGCCGTGGAAGCCGATTTGCTTCACCCACTCCTGCACATCCTCGACGGACCACAGCGGCACCTG